ATCCCGTGAAACGCTACAAAGGCAACCAGGATCCAATAAGTAGATTTCTTTGGCAGCTTAGCTTTTTGGAGGTCAACGGCGAAGAACATCGCAACAACTGCAAAAAACACAAGATTCATTGCCGTGGTCTTGATCAGACTAATGCTCATGAACTATTCGATCTCTGGCAGGTGGAAGTTTCTCTAGTAAATAGAGCGACGATTGCTACGAACTCAATGAATTATACAACATAACATCTGTGGCTGATCAATACGTGGAAGGGCGCCAGTAAAAGGTCCAATCCCCGGATTCGTTGCAGCGTATTATCGAACATTCAAATTATCTAATCGCTCAACATGCATTTCATTATAAGTATCCCTTACTTCCAATTATTTGAGCCGAATTTCCACCAAACCAATGAAGCCAATTGAAGATCGGTCTACGCTTGGAGTCTGGATGAGGCCGGAAGAGGGCACCGATCGGTTGCAAGAAGCACAACCCAGTCGTGACGCAGCCGAGCACTGCGTGCGGATTCCTTGAGATTTTCACGGATGTCCATCCGCCAATCTCCAGGAAAATCAGGACGAACGCAGCCATCGTCAAACTCCAAGTGGTCACCATGAAGGTTTGATGGAACTGCAATGTGCGAATAATAAATACGTCAACATCACAAGAAAATTCTGTGCAGTATCAAAGAATTACGCCATGATCGTTGGATAATTCTGGGGTTTAAAAATACTGATCCATGAACGATTGCCTGTCCATCCTTCTTGAGCTATGAAAAAAACTGAAAAAAAATCCGTGCGTTGTACGATTTGAGACAAAGTTTCGTTTTCAAATATAACAAGCATTTTTAGCAAGGATTCTCGAACAACCTCTATATTATATCCAAAATTCCACTCGCACCAGTAACTGCCCCAGGAACTCATCCGCTGCTTCCTGTCCAGGGTTATTCGCAACACGTTCCATGTTTCAATGAATTTGTTTCTTATCCTAGATTATTACGTGATATTTCATTGAAAATCAGCTGCCGATAATAATTTGTCCATCAGGCCGGGTGTTCAGTATAACCGGCTTACTTCATCAATAATTTACATGTACGGTACTTCATATCATACGGTGTGAACAGTCGTTGAAAAGATTAAAATCCACGTCTGTTTCTAGGAAAATACTGCAATGGTAAAGATACAAGAGATATGCATAATTGAAAGAGTAATAGTACCCTGAACCACAGATCCTTCTTCATGCAACTCGAGTTGCTCCACGTGGTCTTGAAATATCGCGCGAAAAGGATCCCCATTGATGCAGTGCCGATCCAGGCTCCAAACATGAAAGCTCCGTGCAATCGAATGAACAACATGCTGTCGGCAGCTTGAATCAAAGTGGATGAAAGGGCTGTCGTATCCTTCGTTCTCGCCGTGCCGGATGTATGGTAGCCAACTTGAGCTGCAAAAACAAAAGCGATCACTTTAAGCATCTGATGATCTTTGCTGCAAAAGCTGTCCATATACAATTTAAAAAAACGGCAGGTCAGGGATATTCAAGCCCCCAAAATAGTATGAAGAGGTGAATAATCCTATTATTCCCACGTTCAAGACTGATGAGAAAATTTCAGGGACTGTTGAAACCATTGGAAGAAAATTTCCAAATTATTTGAATCTCGATTTGAAGGTCAATTCCATCAATACTGTTTGGCCGGGCCGCATCAGAGTTTTCAGGTGAAATTCAAGAATAAAAGAAAGCAAAACCTTGAACCCGCGTGAATAAGTCTATTTTTTTACTCATCCTAGAACAAAAGTAGTCTACTTACTCGGACTCTTCTGATTACCAGTAGCTAGTAACAAATGGTAACGTTTGGCACCCAAGTTGTAAACGGACGAGTAGTTTCCGTGACTCAGAGTGAATTCCGGCTCGAGATCAAACGAACAGGAGATGGTAGTGTCTCGTACAGAACCAAAAAAATTTGTGATCCCTCTTTGTTGTTCCTCAGTCGCCATCCGGTTCGTTTTCTGGTTCGGCAAATTATACGCACGCATCGGCTTAACAATGTCATCATGAGTGAAGCACGCCACAACTGCATCATCTCCCTGCATGTGCATGAAAAATAAAAAGCACGGTCATCATGGAGTCTCTCAGCGTGCGAAATACAGTAGTCATTTTTTTTATCATTTCGGTATGCGCAACACGTATCAGTCTAATACTGTATAGTAAGTAGCATACGAAGTCAAATCAACCATACTTTTCATACAGTTGTTCATTTAAATTCTAAAATAATCAGGCACATACAGTATAAAACGAATGAAATGAGTGATGGCACAATAAAGATGAGTAGAAAATCCTGATCTTGTATAATAAGATCCACAGCAGCATAAGACCTTCGAATACAAACCGCCAGCTTGCTTTTGACAGACTACCGTATTTATTAAATCCTGTCGCATAGGTAGATGTCGATGTGTATCAAAATAAGCTGCTTTTTGAACAATGCGTTGATTCAACGGGTACAGCAATCTAATGCGATATTTGCAGATGTTCGTTGCATCTTTGTCCCGGCGAGAGAATAAATCATTTTCAAAACTAATATGCCTAAATATCATTCGAATTTAAGACTGTTCTTTTCCCACTCACCTGATGGAATTACACCATTTGATCGCTCAAAAAAAAGGTCGAAAAATGAAAGGATTCCTTATCTCATTTATCTCTCTCCCCAGCTTTCATTTGAAAATAATTAATGCGTGATAATGTTGATTTCGACAAGAATTGAGCACGAGTCCCAAAACTCTGGTCGCTCTGCGCGGAGGATAAGTCAAGAGTTCTTCGAATTTACTTTCGCTATTTTCACGATGAATTCAACAATCGGTGAATTCTTGCAGTATATTATCCTCGTGGGTGTGACTCCATGGAGAACCAGCGCAAATTGCAGGGAAAAATCGTGGAACTTCCAGCAAAAATGGAAAGCCCCTCCCGTTACTCTTCGGTGGAGAATGAGCTACAGTTAACTTGAAAAACCAAGCGTTCTCCTTAGTGATCTTATTTTGGGAGCATGCAGAAGAGCACATGTTTGAATACACCGGGGAATCGACGTGAAGATTCCGACTGTGACGAGTACAAAGTATCCTATGCACTCACCATATCACCATCATCGGAGAAGCCAACAGCAATGTACGCGTCGCCGTTCTGAAGTTCGGCAACGCCACCCTGCAGTTCGAAACGGTATGCTTCGCCATCCGAGGTCGTGGAGTAGGTCACCACCTTATCACACTTGCGCTTTTCCGTGCAGCCTTCCGGTGACCCGAAGCACCCTTTCGACAACCCACAACCATCATAGATGGCTGTATCATTCTGCGGAAAGGGATTGCATCAGCAGGAATTGACGTATTTGATGTATATCTCTCTCTATACGGTCTACCAAGCTACACGCAAACGCTCGGCGCTTTCAAAGAGGTCAGCGCAACCGGAATGGTGAATACAGTACTGTACTGTACATATTTCAATAACACAGGTTCATTATTCAGAATTCGGCGATTTCCTCGATAATCGTGCCGCGCAATACCAATTCGAATGCGGAACTGTCGTGAAGAAATCCGACAAGCCTCCAAGTACTTCCCGGTTCCTTTTGAGATACCTCAATAAATCTCACCTCCTAACCTCCACGTTTTACTTCGAAGATCAAAAGTTCAAGTCTCTCAAAAGCAAGGTAAGAGAAGTGGAAAGACAGATGCAGGGAAAGGACTCCCTCGGGGTATTCGAAGTACAGTACTATTCAATATTTATCACGATAGCACATCAGTATAATTTTTCAATATATGTAAAACAGAAAATTTTGTAAGAGAAGTGGAAAGACAGATGCAGGGAAAGGACTCCCTCGGGGTATTTGAAGTACAGTACTATTCAATATTTATCACGATAGCACATCAGTATAATTTTTCAATATATGTAAAACAGAAAATTTCAATTAATTTGGCAACAAAAAAGGTACACAAGGTTATGTGTAAGATTCAAATAAGATCGATTGATAAATAGCCACTCGTCGGCTGGTTTGCGCCGAATGGCTCCCTATGAATCCTTGCTTATAGTGCTGAAGTAAATAACCCATTTAAAAACTTGATAATTTCGCCGACGGCAATTGGTAATAACTTGCACAGGGAAGTAAAAAACGTCTTCTCTCATCGACTTTCTAAAAACAAAATTTCAGGAATCATCACAGATGTTTTATTTAGGATCATTGAAAATTTCAATTACTGTAGTATGCTTCATATTTTCAACCGACATACAGTATTGTGGTTGTTGAAAAAAATACCTCGAAAACGGTCTTCGCAGCAAGGAGAGCAATTTTCAAATTTTAAAACAATACTTGTTTTAAATCATTGCTGAAATTAAGGCAGCATGCTGCATAGGATTTTCAACTTCACAGGCTAAGAATTTCTGGAAATTTTTTTCAACCTTCATGGCTGCTAGATGAGCACTAACCAACGATTTGAACATTCGGTTCTTCACTTCTCCTGAAACCGAATACTTAATCAACAGTGCCACATTTTTTGATTACGAATGGAACTCATCTGTCGTTTATTTTTTTCACGAAAACTTAAATGAAGCCAACATTTTTGCTTCTGGTTGCAATAAGCTACGTCGAATGCATAGAAAATTACCGTAATGTTATTCAGTATTATAATTTTGATTGTATTGAGTTACAACGATTCCAGATAACTCCACTCTAATTTTGATCGAGGAAAGTTCGTTTCTCTTGCTTAATTCGTTCATGAAATTTAAAAATTCTTAAATTTTTGAACATATTATGAATTTAACATAGACCTAAAACATGGATGCTCAATAAAATAATAATTATGCACCGATTCAAAGCCACAGTACTTGAGCTGAATTTGGTCTCAAAGGATGTCAAAGGCGATGTTGATTCAATGTCTTGAAAGCTCTCATAGGGCCACAAAAAAGTTAAATCTGCGTAACTGTATTCTTGAACGACCGTCAGCCATCAGAAACAGCAATTCGCCAAAAAGACGTTTAATAAGGTTGTGTCAATAATATCATTTGAAAATACAATGTTTGGATGAAAAGGATTGGGATATTGGTAAACGATCCTAAAATACCTGTATACCCATACATTGGTACATAATCCATTCAAATTGTATTTCGATTTAAACTCGAATTGTTTTTCATGCATCGAGCAGACGATTAATATATGCACGTGAAGTTCGGGACGAAGTAAAAACAAAAAAGCTGGCGACTATGTTCGCGTCAGCATCAATTAACAGGTTTACAATTTACAGAGCATGAAACGATCATATAGAGCAAAGAATTCAGAAGCGTTAAGCAATAATCTATATCTACAAGTCGAGAACAATTTTCCGGTCAATACAGTATCATCAATTACTTTCCCCACCTCAAGTGGCAGACTATTCCTTGAGCTGCATAAAAAGCTACTGCATAAGGAAACTAAGAAAAAACTAGGACATGATGTAGGCGTGCCCACTCACCGTCTGGACCGATTGACAACAGCGTATGTGAGACAGCGCACCTATAAAGGGATTTATGGGAAGCATATAGGATGCAGTTAAGATAGTGTGTCAACCAACCAAGTCGGAGAGTCCGGAAACTGCTGGACGACGTTTCTCAGACTGGGCGTTAGACTGCGTGGAAGCGGGTCCAACACCTGGCGGAAACCCGACGTTGGGATTGCGACCTGGTTCCTTTTTGGGAGCAACGGCAGCCGAGTCCAGCGGCTCCACGCTCACCGACCTTTTTACAACGATTTTTGGCGATTCCACACCCGTCCAATAGGTATCCTTGTTTTTCACGAACGTGGCTCTGTAAAACATCATCAGAAAACGAAAATGTCTCGGTTGCTTTAGTCTTTCTCAATGCCGATGCGTGCACTGAAGAGCAATGACACCGCAACGCGGACTCCGGTTCATTCAACCCCGAATCCGCCGGATTTCACAACGACTGTGTAGAACTTTAGACATTCGATTCAAGCGAGGTTCACACCGTATCGAGGATCCTATAATAAGCATTGTCAAAAGGTACCTTCATCCTGAATGGAGAGCAGTTTCAAAGCAACAATCCACAGGACAACTCTATGACTTCATTAGTCTTGTGCCGCGGATAGATGATTAAAATAAAGCCGTTAGATGAGAACAATAAGAAAGAGGTCTCACTTTCGAGTAAATTCAGAATACCTGAAGCGAATTTCATTTGGTAGAAGAGAGATTAAATGAACACTTGCAGTGATTATCACCTTCATTCAGAATAACTCGCTTTTCTCACACAGAGCTAGATCCTCATCATATAGAACTTCGCCGAGAAATATTTACTACATTACAGCTGGCACGGGATGAATCACATGACCTCATCAAGCTAGTTCAACTTTGGCACATGGTTGTTTCATTGAGCGATAAGAGGGAAAATCAATTCCAATCCAGGTTAGTCTTTTTTCCCCTGAAATGTTCCCCTGCCGAAAGAGAAAACTTTCGCGTAGCTAACTATTTGCAAGCCACGAATAACTGGGATGCATCAACTTTTTCGAAGAATCCGAACCCTTTTTCAGTATATTGAGGAGAGCTAAAATGTGCTGGGAATTTTTCGGAAGTATTTCATTCAAACATCCTTTCAGGGCTAAAAAATCGGGAAGAGAATCAGTTGAGCTTCCATTCAAATTGTTTCAAGGCGATAGGGTAAACGGTTCATGATAACCTTCGTTTGAGTAAAGGTTGTCTGGATCTCAGTGAACACTGTAATCGTCGAATCAATTTTTTCTGATTTGTGTTCCAGGAATGAAAAGAAGGAAGGAACGGCAGTGTAGCAAGGTAGGCAGTGAATTAATCGGGTGCCATTATCGTGCAGTGCATAATACATGTATACGCATACGAATGTTGGAACGATTCGAAATACACGCGCACACGCCGTATGTTGCTTCCAGGAGCCACGTCGGTTCGTAGCAAAAGGTACACATAAGATCCAAGCACAATAGTACTGTAAATTTTAATTGAAAACTGAACAAAATAATTTTAAAAGTCATGACAGGGTTCAGACGCTAATTATGAGTGTGCTGGAAGCGCGGGGAGTCGCCGGAAATCGTGATCCGCAGGTGTTCAAAATTTTACCTGCACACCCAACTTCCGCTTTTCTTTCCCTTCGTTCTCTTCCAGATGGCCTCCTCAACCAAGTCTCAAGGCAACCGAACGGGGTGTAATGCACTGGGAATGGCAGGGCTGGAAAACCCTCAGGTCTCGAATTGAGGAACAAACACCTTCGATATCCCAGAGCATCGAGTCAAGACAGGGACGAGAAAGAAATGCCAAGGACAAGATACTTCAGGTTCGGGCGGTGCCGAGTTCGGCGTAAGTGCATGATACCGCCTCAGATCACTCACACGCGATCCGATTTGAACAGCTTCGGGCTAAAACCGCCCTGGGTGCAGAGAAACAGCCGAGAAACCATCCAACAGCCTTTCTTCCAATGCAAAATAGCTTCGCCTGCGGAAGGGGCTTGTCAACTTTGGCTCTGAAAAAAAAAAAAAAACTACCCTACCTATACAGGCCGATGATACGTAAAACGTAACGAATTATAAACTTCTGGTCTACCGCACATTCCATCACTGGAAATCCGAACGAATCCGTTCATTCACGTTCCCTCAGAATCAAGGGCGTTAAGAGAAAATCCAATGAGATATTATGCCGATGGGAGACAAGTCCAATGAGAAGCAAGGGTGGAATTCCCAAGTGGCAATTTTGAAGAAAGTCAAAATATTTATCAAGATCAACTTTTATTCATTTTTATTTCTGCAGAGTTTCCATTGATAACTTTCTTGAAAGATAAAAAAAGATATCTTCCGTTTTTGCATTATTAATGGAGACTGCAATCACGTTCTTCAGTCATATATACAGTATATATGTACTGCAGTCTACGATTTAAAATTGGCCAAATTTCAATCAGTGATATCTGTTAACTATACGTAAGGTTATTTAAAGGTATACAATACAGTACAGTAAAATCTTGTTCCAAGACCCTGTCCCTCGGATGTTGTTCCCTTACAACAAATTTTTCATTACTATATAACGAACTTTTTTCAAGTCCAGACAGAAATCATAGGGTACATGCTACAAAAAACTTGCTACAACAAACTCGCCAATTCTAGTGTTGTACTGTAGTGTATAAGAAACTATATTGAGGAACATAATTCGTGTTAAAAGGGGTTTAAATGCTTGAGACCCTACTGATGCTGAAAAATTTCTATATCAACCCCTACAAATCTGTGCAGTTATTGCTTGGAAAGACAAAGTCAACAAAAAGTGCATTCTTTTCACCTTTTATTCAGGGTAAATGTAAATGCTTGAGACCCTACTGATGCTGAAAAATTTCTATATCAACCCCTACAAATCTGTGCAGTTATTGCTTGGAAAGACAAAGTCAACAAAAAGTGCATTCTTTTCACCTTTTATTCAGGGTAAATGTTTATTAAGATTTAAATTTCTTCTTGGATCAGTTTTTTGAACACTGAAAAACATCTGAAAAGGTCACAAAAGGAGGATTATGAATAAATGAAGGTTTACTTTCAAGAAATCTTCCCATCAGTCAAAAGTTTCGAAAATCTTGTTATACTGTATAACAAATTATTTGTTATAACAGACTACCTCTGAAGTTCCCGCGAGTTTGTTGTGAGGAGATTTTCTTTTGTGGGTTTTTTTTTCCCAGCATCAAGATGGTTCTCTTCACTCAAGTCACGCTTCGTAGCATGGATTATCAAACATTCATACTTTTTGCGTAGACTTCATCCTGAACGTGTCTCCGAGAATGAGGAAGAATAATTCAGCTGTTGGCCTTCATGCGTAGAATAAAGGCGTAGAAAGGGAAAAAAGTCGTCACTTCCACGAAGTTTTCTTCCTTACTCACTGCAGACCTTATTCATTGCCACATAGTCCGTAGAATACGTTAGAAACAGCGAAAGCATTAATTAATTGAAAGGTAGTCTAACGTTGGTTGGCGTTAGTAGTTAGTCTTGTAACGCGCACGCCTAGGTTTGCGCTAAAAGCGTTGTCCTGTGCAAGAATTAATGAAGATCGACAACTCCTTTGACGCACCCGTTCTTTTGGTACCAACCAATTAGCGTCAGTCGTGATAGATCTTCCGGACATTTAATCGACGCCACAAGGGCCCAGCAAAGGCTAAACGGCCGACTTGCAACAAATTTATAATGTTCGAATGCCACCCTCGCTTCTCATGTTACCAACACTCGCGCGACGCAGAGGAATCGCGAGGTGTTCGGCATGTTGCGCTGCTTGTTTGACGGAGTAATTGTTACACGTCACGTACGTAATCTTTTGCCCTTTAGGAACGTTTTCCGTTATCAACTGCTGCCAGTCCATTTTTACCTTGAACTCGATACGCTGTAGCAGTTACCTCCCTAATCCACCGCGTGGAAAAAAACGCAGCCACGAAGCTCCGAACAAAGGAGATGAAAGGCGACACCTGGAGAAGGCGCGCGCATTTGCACTTGGAGCGCCTTCTCCAGGTGTCGCCTTTGCTGTGTTGTGGTCATTAACTCTAATTTGTTCGGCATGAACGCGACGAACAAACTGCCTCATTAACAATGTGCAGTGCATGCATTAGAAAACGGGAAATCCTTGCAAAAGGCAATAGTTGACGACGGTCAGGTAAAAATGGAACTTGAGCTATGACTGTAGCAGTTACCTCCCGAGTCCACCGCGTGGAAAATGACGCCGCGCCGAGACGAGAGTGACTGGACAAAAATAACTTTCTAGGAGAACGGCTTATTTATCTCCATATGGGAGCCGGGGTCGTACACAGTGAGGACGTTATACACTGAGATTACTGCAAGTCATCGTTGAATTCGCGTCCACAGAAATACAGTATAACACATAATCAAAGTCGACGGTAGCTTCCGGACGCGTCACATCTCTACAGCTGAAAATTGTCGAAGACGGCCGGGGCATAGCCATAACTCGAAGTCCAGAATTTAGTCCACTGTATAAGAGAAGGCCATACTCGAGATTTTAGCATTCGGAGAGAATTTAGCATCTAAAATTATCCTCGCGATCTCATAAAAATTTTCGACAAGTTTCCCTTCCATTTTACAATTATGCCTTACAGCGGTTTGGTCAAAAATTTTGAGAATTACTTTCTGGTACAAGGGCAGCGCAGTTTACCGCAGAGAAGCATATCAAATCAAGAACATACTGACGTTTGTGAATCATGCAGGTACAGTACTTTTATGCATCACGAAAGAGGAGTCACGAACGGTGGAAAATACGGAAGAAGGACATGCAACCTGGAGGCAATTTGAAGCACTGACCGCATGTTTCAAATAAATGTGGTTTGACTCATACTACCACAGAGGGGGGGGGGGGGGTTATTGCCACTAACGTTTGGGCAAATTTTCAGATGAACTGTCAAGCAGGATTGATAACACAAATGGATCAACTAAAGCCCGTCCTTGATTTATAGTAGTTAACACCCTGGTATGTGTTGAGAAATTTCCTGGTACGTGTACCTTATACCGTATTTACTCGCGTGCCATACACACATTCTTTACTCAAAATTGAGACGAAAAAGGAGGATGCGCGTCGTAGGCGGATATACTATTTTCAAAAAGTTTTAAAAGTTTATGAAATTTTGAATCAATTTCAACAGAAAACCATTTTCAGTGGAAACAGTAAAAAATTAATTGAATTGGGTTAAAATTCATGTCGAATTTGAAAGTCTTTTGTATTATTAAAAAAAGCTTTTTCACTAAAAATGCGTTGCGCGTCTTATTCCGGGATAGGATTTCATAAAAATTTCAAGCTAAAAAATTGGGATG